TGGATGGTGCACAGCAGACATGAGGCTGGGACCTAACTAGTCCACTGTGGTGTTCAGAGAGGGTGGATGGTGCACAGCAGACAAGTCCCCCAGGCCCCCACATGAAGCAAATCCCTGCCACCCCCTCCCAGGACAGGAAGCAGCTCCACACTTACTCCCCATTATCCTGCGCACGGTCGGGCCTTCTGCGGTCATTTCCCTCACGATCTCGTTGTCATCCTCATTGGCGTCCAGCCAGCGATTGCAGTTGAAGTTATACTTATCCTTATTCAGGGTATTCATCAGGGTCATCTACAATGAGGAAGACTTGAGGTAGGCAGGTGGGCCTATCAGAGGTAGGCAGGTGGTCTATCAATCAGAGGTAGGCAGGTGGGTCTATCAGAGGTAGGCAGGTGGGCCTACTAGGGATTCCCACCCATGGTCTGGAATCCTCATTCTATGGTCTCATTTTTTTTTAAGTTTTGTGTTTTCTCATTATTACTTTATTTTGGTTTTATAGGACAGTGTTCCTCTGTGTAATCCTGGAACTTGCTTTGTAGATCAGGCTGGTCTCAAACTCAGCCTGCATCTGCATCTCCCCCCCCCCCCCCCCGGCCCCCTTCCCCCCACCCCCCACCCCCGCAAGTGCTGGGATTAAAGGCGTACACCACCACATCTCGTCTGCTATCTCTTCTTAGGGAAGGCCAAGCCATCTCCTCAGCATGACTCTTGGGAAACGCAGATGATCAACCTTCCCTTTCTTTTCCTGGTCTCTTAGAAGCCTTTGCTCACCTAACTCCTAGAAGATGGGACAGCATACAAACCCATGGACCCCTGAGCATTCTCGCTGTTTACTTTGGAAGGCCTCTCCCTAACTGTTCCCAAAACACATGGTCCACGTCTACTCTTTCCACTGGCAATCCTAACAAACACAGAGGCAAATATGTGTGTGTGTGTGTGTGTGTGTGTGTATACATATATACATACATACATACACACACATATATATATATATATATATATATATATATATATATATATATATATATGACACGATCGTGAAGGAGGATGGCTCTGGCCCCTCCTGTCCCCACCCCAGGTACACCTTACCTTTTCTAAATGCCATCCAGAGCCAGGGTTCTGCCTATCATGCCACACCCGAATTTTATAAAACCTGCCAAGATCTGGGAGCTCCATCTACAAAGAGAAATTAAAAGGTTTGTGTGGACATAGTTATGGAAATACATCTGTCCTCATAGCTGACCGCAGGCAGGTGGGCGCTCCTTTGGGCTGTTTTTCCCCAGTAAGAGTGGGTTTGCTTCTAAACATACTCAAACATTCCATTCTCTCATGTTCCTGGTAGCCAGAGGCTCATGGAACCAAGACAGCTATGTGAAACTAGCGTTCAGTCTGGGCTGGCAAAACTGAACAAAAATAACTGACCCACAGTGGGATCCAGCCGAGAGATCTTCCAGGAACAAAATTCATATGGCAGCCCTGCAAATTAGCACAGGGCCACAGCCCCAGGAGTCTACTGGGCACCGAGACAGACAAAAAGATCAGTCCAGCAGCGGTGCCCTTTCCCCGGGGGCCCGAGTCTGGCAGAGAAGACAAATACATAAAGACCAATGAACTTAGGGATGGAATAGAGGTATCAGCGGGGTGCTCAGAGAGGAGAGCAGCAAATTACAGATGCTTCTCCCCAAAGGTCGGCACAGCACTTCTGAGGGCAAAGACTTGCTCTGTGTATATACCGCAAAGTTCAAAGCTGGATATTCTTTCAAATGCTCCAGAATTTATGTTTCCCCTTAAAAGTTTGTTCTGATGCTTGAATGCGGACAGGTTGAACAATCTAACTGTGCTCCAAGCCCCTGAGCCCACAATTTCCCTGCTCGCCCCACTCCTGAACACTCCAAGCATTTCATACTTGCTCTGCCCCCCAGGCCTCATCCAAGATCATTTCAGATGGAAGGTCCAGATATAAACTATATGACTTTCAATAAGTTGCCTATAAGTCATCAAATTTGTCACTGCTGTGGGAGCCCAAAATCTCCAATGCCCTTTTTTGTCTTTAAACTTGGTTCGAAATCAGGTGTAGAAAACTGGAATCCTCCTGCCCCGCACCTTTCCATCTCTTCCTACCGTGCCCCTCCCCGTCCACCCCCTTCCTACCCTAAACTTCTCGATGATGCCCGGTTTGAACCACTTGTTGTTGGGATTCAGGAGGATCTCATCTGTCCGCCCCTTCTGCCCATAAATCTGGATGAAGATGGGAGAGTTGGTGCCTGCTTTCTTCAGATCAGTTGTCCAGACCCAAAGGGACCAAGGAAATTCTACAACAAAGACCAAGATGCCTCGTGAATTCCAAGGGCCGGGGAAGGAAAAGCAGGGTGAAGAGATATCAAGTGATCAGGATTGGAGCTGATACACAATTGTGTCAGTTCTTAGAACCCATTAAACAAGTGGTGAATATGAAGACACCTTAGTGTCTTATTAATGCCCAAAGGCTTACTTCATTTTAGTAGTGGGGGAGAGTTGACTCCACCATCCTTCAACTAGTAAATTCAGAGTTCACTGCCATGAAGCACTCAGCTTAACCCTGTGTCCACGACAGCAGCTCCTTCAGCCTGGGGATGCTGAAGTCATGTCCGCAACACCTCAAGGCCTGTACCGTGTAGAACTGAGCCTCTCTCTGAGAGACCCCCAGATTCTGGGCCCCTCACACTTACTTTTCAGCCGCTTCTTCCTCAGAGACACCATCTCATAGAGCTGCCTCTCGATCAGCCCGTCGGCCTTCTTCTCGTCCAGCCAGTTGCTGCAGGGGAATGTCTGCTGGATGCCAGTGAAGGGGCACAGGACCACCACCTGGGAAGACAGACAGCAAGAGTCTCCCGTGTCAAGCCCTCTGACGGGACCCCCGCGCGGTGCTTAGCGGCCTCCGCAGTACCCAGTGCGCATGCGTCAGTGCACGGGCGCCTGTGTAGGACCTTCAGAGGAACACACTTTTCCTTCTGCCTTTCTCACCGAGTCAATAGAGTACACCTCTTTCAAGACTCGTTTTCTTCGCAGATAAAAAAAAATACTTTTTAAATTATTTTAAAGAGAAGTCTTCCGCAGTAGCTGCCATCTGTTCTCCAGTTCACTAGCTCAAGTCCCAGATCTTTTCTTCTATTGCGTCCTCTTAGGACACCACATTTCTTCGTGTGCATCATAAAATCTGTGAATCTGAACCAAATGGCCTCTACCACCCGATAAAATTTTGTAGGAAAGAAGGTAAAGCACATAAAAGCTTATCAGTTCATATCTCAGATGTAATACGGAGCCAAGTGCCTTCCCCTAGACTTACATCCACTGGATCCTGGCTCCCAGCCTTTGCCATCCACACTCAGAGTTCATGGATTTACGACATGGAGACACGCCCTCTTTGGCCACTCAAAGGGCGGCTGTCAGAAGGAATGTCCTGGACCCTAAGGATCGTCTCTAGGCAAAGATCACTGTTCGAGCATCTTTACTAAGCCTCATTTCAGTGGGCCCTTGTTGCCAGCTGTTTAAGGTGATCACGGCTGACTGTACCTCCCTTAACGGGACTCTTAACCTGTATGTTTGATTCTGGTAAGGATTCGACTCACAAGGAAGGTATGTCCATGCCTCATAGCATAGCCACAAACCATGCCCGGCAAAGATAGCTAGTTCTAGAAAAAGAAACTTATGTATCTCTGCTACAGAGGTGAGAAATTTCAGGAGACTTTTCTTGGCCATAGATAGATTTTTTTTAAAAAGATAAGAAAAAGAAATATTCCCAATGATATAGAACATTCAAATACCAAAGATAACTAATACAATTGAATAAACCAAACTAAAATCTTAAATTCAACTGCTGGTGCCATACATGTGAATGTTCTCAACGGCTTTTTAAAAGCACATCATATAGAGTATACTTTATGAGTAACATCATATTAAATCATGTTTTTAAAAAACTTTTTTTAATAAAATAATATTTCTACTATTAAAAACTGGGATAAGAAAGGAAACCAAGGGTCAGTGTCACTTGTATAGCAAAGTTCCCTATTGAAGTTGGCAAGTCAATTCTAAGGGCAGGTAAACTTGCCATCTGCCATCCGAGCTTCACCGAAAGAAGCGGTGCAGTGTTGGCTGAGCACTGGAAGGGGCAGCCGTCCAGGGTGCAATGTCTCATCTCAATAGAACAGAAAGATCGTAGGACTATCTCACGCCAATAGAAACCAGCATTAAACAGAATGCAACACTGCTCAGAAAACCACTCGACACTGAAGAAAAAGAAAAGAATGTGTTTAATCAGTTTAATAACATGTACCAAACACCTCTAACATAATTAACTAAATAAAACATTAGGAACAGTTGCTTTTACATTAAAAAAAAAAAAAAAGGCTAGAGGTGCAGTTCAGTGGTATAGCCTGGCATGCACAATGCCCTAGGCCTGATGCCTGTCCCCCCACAATTTCACACACAATTAAATACAAGACAGAGATATACACTATCCAGCCTTCTGTCCAGCATTCTACTGTAGATATTGGGCTATGAGCTCAAAATGTAAAAACAGATAGTAAGCTTCTCTGTGGGTGAGGAGACTAAAGACCAACCGAGCTCTGGAAGACTTGCTGGCAGAGAAAATGTTCAAAGAATATATGGAGAAAAGATTAAAATTAATGCAGAGTTTAAAAGATGGTTACATGTAGACTCGATACATGGAAAGTACTTAATCAGCAACAAATGGTTAGAAAAGATAAGTTTTAAGAGCATTCATGACAGCACAAACTGTCAGATCTATATGATCACATAGCAAAGGTATATGCTATTTGAAGAAGAAAAAATATAAAACTACATTGAAGAACAGTTTAAAGACCTAAATTTTAAGAAGTGTACTGTGTTCATAGATAAGAGAAGTTGGTATATTTTTAAAAAAATATTAGTTTTCCCAAGGGATGCTGCAGGAACTCCTTCTGCTCCTTCAGCCAATAGCCTTGAAGATACCAGCCCACTCGGGTGTGGTCTCTTTTCCTTTACGAAGCAACGGTAGCCCTGCTCTCACTTCCGGTCACTAGACTCTGTTCCTGGTCACACAGAGGGCTGTTGTCTAGGATGGTGATCTGTAAGTTTTCCCTTAAATAAATAACCCTTTTATTAATCATAATTCCAAACTGGTGTGGGATTGTTTTGTGACTTAAGTCTAGAATGGGACTCTGTAGATCCAGTTGACACTTCATCAGCTTGGGGAGGACATTCTAAAATTCTCATGGGATAGTAAATTATGACAGATGCCCATCTACCCTTGGGAAACAGGAGTAAGTTTGGTTTAATTTGTCCTAGCAGAAATGGTACAAATACACAAAATGAAGACAGCAAGCACTGTATCGGCACAAAATTAGACCGAATCAAAGCTTGGGAGAGAGTAGAAAGCACGGGGAAGTAGGGGTTTTACTTGCTTTGTTTTGGGGAGCACTGATTCTACATTCAATGGGAAAACAAAAACAAAGCTTCATTTCCCACTGAAAGCAAATCATTGGTTCCCAAACTTCCTTAAGGACAAGAACTGTCAAGTTAAGTTCTGGTGGCACCGGCCTGTGATCTCAGTTGCTGGGGAGTTTCCCTGGGATATAGGGTGAGTGCAAGGCCAACCTAGGAGGCAGTGATACTCTGTCCCAAATATTGTGAAGGAGACACAGAAAGTGATATCGGGAGAGAGAGAGAGAGACAGAGAGATTGGGGGGGGGGGGGGGGGGGGAGGGAGAAGAAAGGACTGAGGATGCAGCTCACTGGCAGAGCACTGCATAGCGTGATACACAGATGCACAGTTCCCTGTGTCCTCCCACCTAAATTTAGAAAACTATTCAGAATCTTGGAAAATCTGACTCAGTAGTCTAGATCGAAGTTCAGGTATATTATTATCAAGAATTCAGGGGAATCTCAGGATGTACTTATTTATGTGTTAGTGTTTTGCCTGCATGCATTGATGTGTATCATATGACTGTAGTGCCTGTAGAGACAAGACCAAATTGGGGGGGGGGGGGGCGTCAGAATCCCTGGAACTGAAGTTACAGACAGTTGTAAGTCTTCACATAGGTGCTGGGAACCAAACCGAATCCAGGTGTACTGCAAGAGCAGTGAGTGCTCCTAACTGCTGAGCCTTCTCTCCAGCCCGGGAACTTTATTATAGTTTTATAAATCCTTCAATAAATGTAGCTAAAATACTTTGATATATATCTGGAAAAAATCTACCTCATAAAAATAGTTACTAGTAGATTAAAGATGTGGATAGGAAAACCAAAACTTTACCATTTTTAGAAGGGGATATAGAAATGGATTTTCATAACTTGAAACAGTTTTTTAATTTATTTAATGTATATAAGTACTGGTATGCATGTATCTTTGTGCACTATGTGTGGACACCCTAAAAACCAGAAGAAGGCAGCAGATCCCTGGAATTGGAGTTACAGATGATTGTGAGCTGCCATGTGGACGCTGAGACCCAAGCTCAGGTCCTCTGGAAGAACAGCCAGTGCTCTTAACTGCTGAGCCATCTCTCCATCCCCTGCCCCCCATATTTTCATAGCTTTAAGAAAATAGACTTCTTTTCAACAATACAGAAAGCATTAAACATAAAGGGAAAAGCTGATTAAATTGAAATTTTTCTTTCTTTCCTCCTCTTGCTTTGTGAGACAGGATCCTAGTCTGTAACCCAGATTGCATGGGAACTCCTGTCAGGCCAGGCTGAACTCAAGGCAATGTGCAGGTCCATAGATATACTTTAAAATTATCGTTGATTGTTTCATAAGCCAAGGTGAAACACCACCAGCAATCATGTCGCCTATAACCGGCAGGTAAGCACCTATGGTAGCCAATGCTGTGTTTGGGGACAGCCCCACTCCCTAAGTCCCCACTAACAAGACAAAAAAGATGGGCGTGATCTTGTCCAAGGGATCATGTGCTCTATAACCAGCTGGTTTAAGAGCTAGGAAAATTTAGAAAATAGGACTGTTGTGGTCAGAGTCCTCTAGAGAAACAGAACTGATGGGATGAATGTGTATGTATATGTGTGTATATATGTATGTATGTATACATACATGTACACACTTACATGTAAACGGGATTTAAAAGTGACATACAGGCTATAGGCCATCCAGTCCAACAATGCCTGTCTACCAACCAACAGGAAGTCCAAGAATCCAGTAGTTTCTCAGCTCATGAGGCTGATGTCCCAACTGCTCTTCAGTAAACACTGGAATCCCAAAGAGGCAGGCTCTAATGGCAGCAAAGGAATGGATTTGCCAGCGAAGAGTGAAGGCAAGCAGGCAAAAGGAAAAGAACTTCCTTCTTCCTTGTCCTTTATAAAGGCTGCCACCAGAAGGTGTGGCCTAGATTTAGGATGGGTCTTCCTACCTCAAATGATCCAAGTAACTAAAAAAAATCCCTCACATGTGTGCCCAGAGGCTCAGGCTTTGAGTTAATTCCAAATGTAGTTGACAACGGAGGGCAGACATCACGGGGATGCAGGGCAGAGTCTGTACATCAAGGTTGAAGAAGAGGCAGTTGAACTCGAGAATACTCACACGTCGGCTCCTTACCTTCTCGCAGTACCAGCCTCGGTTGACACCCACATTGCCATGCCCGATGGAGACCCGGCTCAGGGGGCTCAGGAGGACAGCCAGGTCAATGTGGAAGATGTCCGTGCGGCCCCTGTCAAACACACCTCCCTCCAGGAAGATCTTCCCGCTGTTCTTATTCCCTCTGGCTCCATACATGACCAAGTAGATTTTCGATTTGGTTCCAGCTCCACGGATATCCCCAGTGAAGACAGTGACAATATAGGTTATGGCTGGTGTGGAGAGAGGGGTAGAGCTGGTTCAAAGTGGACCACGCCAGCACACTCCCATTTCCATCTTGGCTATGGTACTACCCTGCCACACACACCCGTGCACCCTCACGTTCTATGAACTCAGACCACATCCAGGGCCCCTCACCACCTCATTCTGTTTTCCAGCGTTGTGTGTTAGCATGTGTGAGTTCGGGGATGGATTGTATCTATTATTTCAGGAAACTGTCAGCCCTGATTATGAGAAACAAAGAGAAGAAAGAAGTTGAACGTCTAAGAATAGCACGTATTATTGATGTTAATTACTGTGTGTGCATTATTAATAGCTGCTAGATAAATTTTGTTATGTGTAATCTAATTATTATAGTCAAGTCCATTGATGGAGATTTATATCTGGCCCATCTGGTTCATTTAGCTTGCTCTTCAGCTGAAAAATACAACTTTTGAGAGTGGGCACTGGTATTTCCCTTCCCACCTGGGCTGAGAAAGAGTGAGGGGGCACTACAAGTTGGGTCACGTGGCATTCTGATCAGTCAGGAGGCATCGTGAGCCCTTGGAATTAGGCAGCAGAACCACCAAGGGCTAAGTAAACTCCTAAATAGGGCAAAAAGGAAAAAGAGAGATCACCGGCATTTGCACCAGAAATTCTGTTTTCTTTGTTCTGAAACCCTGGGACAGAAGGAAAGAGTGCCAGCAAACGTGACAGGGAGAGGAGAGGAGACAGACACCCAGATGAAGATGTCCCGAAGAGCAGAAGGTATGGGTATTAGGGTGAGTCACGGGTGGGGTGATCACGGGCAGGTGCAGCAGGAGGAGACAGAAGGGCTGCAAAATGGCAGGAACAGCATTGAAGAGCCTCCAGATGGGCCACCTGGAGCCAATTTGTATTGTGATCTACTGTTACATTCCACAACCCTGGCTGTGTCTCTAGTCAGAGGGAGGGATGGATTTCAGCAGAGGAGCAATTTCTCAGGTGTGTAAAGTACACACGAGTTTTCTAGAACCCGAAGGACCACGTCAGGCGGGCTGTGGAATTTATGGAGGTAAGAGGACTTCAGGAGGCAGACAAGTCTGTCGTCAACCAGTTATGTGACCATGGACAGCTTCATTAACTTCGATATGCCTCAGTTTTCTCATCCATGAGTTGGGAACAAGACAATGCCTACGCTGTAGGTGGCTCTAAGGATTATAGAAAAAGTAAGAGGGTCCAAATTCTCCTTCTTTCCTTCCTCTTTTAGTTCCCTCTACCCATAGCTAGTAATGCCTAGGGCTATTACCCTGTCTCTTCTGATAGCAACAGCCTCACCTGCAACCCAAAGAACCAGACCATTTTCTGGGGCAGTAAAGATGCCATCTTCAAAGCCAGCTGGCTCCTACTTGACCACAGTCATAAGCCCACAGACTTGACCCTGACACTGACTCTGGCAAAGACAGAACATCCAGCCGGGGCCTCTCTGCTCTCCAGCCTACCTGTGGTCTCAGCTCCGCCCACTAAGATGTCTCTTTGGATTTTGCCATCGTCTTCATCCAGTGCCAGCCAGCGGTTAAGGGGGAAATCGTATTTCCTTTTGTTCCCAAAATCTTCAATGATAATCTGAGAAGGAGAGCAGAGGAAAGAATGCACTCAAGTGTCCTTGAGGGCACACCTGGTAGTCTACCACCCCATCCAGTCGTTGGAGCATACTCTAAGATGCTCTTGAGTCTCCTCACGCCTCAAGGAGAGCTGCTCTCAGAGCACAGCTGCTACTAGGAAATCCGCACACAGCCATCCAGGGATGATTGACAGCCACCCCTCCTTGAATCTCAGCCACTAATCCTCCACTGCTTGGAGGCATTTTAGAAAATTGAAGCAAGAACGGTATGGGCGTCTGCTCGGGGAGCTGGGATGAAAGAACTGGAGGCGGGGATTTGAAAACTGACACATGAGATGTTGGCTTCCTCCCGGCTGAAGGCTAGATGTCCGATCTTATTGTTGAGAAGCGGAGTCTACGCAAGGGGGAAACTGAGGACTGAAACCAGGCCCAAGGAATCCTAGGGCCTGGCAGCTACATCAGAAAGCATCAGCAGCTGCCAGGGAGGCAAATGCAGGTGGCCATAAATGAAAGCTCCCCAGCAAAACAACCATAAGCTGGGTTGGTAACATCTTGTCTTTTAGAACATACTGAAGAGCTAGAAGTGCCTCCCAAAATGTGCATTTTGGACCCCGCTATAAAGTAAGACAGGAAAGACAGACAGACGTACTCTGTGATGACCAGTGAAAGCATACAGCATAGGGGTTGGCTGGTTTGTTTGGTGGGGGGGGCACACGTACACACATGTTGAAAAGCAAGAACCGTTATCTGGAAGGAATATTTCCCACCTACCAACAAGCCCATAATAAGGAAAGCAGATCTTCTGAGGAGTCCTTGCAGGGGAGACTAAGTGCAGAGAAGGGGCCTATTCATGGTTGAGTCAACTATATTCTGTGACTGTGGAGACACACCTTACCAGGCAAGACTTCCCAATGTAAAGGCTAAAAAGGATAAGACGCCCGCTACAATGGAGGAAAGGGGGAAATGGCCAAACAGGGGCAATTTTGTGTTTATCCTTTCTAGATGGGCCAGAGATGCCTCAGATGACCCTGGGCTACACAGCCCTCACTTCCTCCCAGGCAGGCTCAGGACACCTGAGTGACGTAAGGGCGTGGCCTTGAAGCCAGCATGTTTAGGTCACTAGGGGGTGTCTTCTGTGACAAATGCACACTTAGTTACGGAGTGACTTCCATCATTGTTATATAGCCCGATGGAGCTGGGTTCTGCTCTGTGCAGATGAGGGGAACCACACACACACACACACACACACACACACACACACACACACACAGAGAGAGAGAGAGAGAGAGAGAGAGAGAGAGAGCAAGCAATTAGGAGGGAGGAGGGTCCGGAGCTTTGTGCAAGGCTGGAGAAGATGAGAAAATTAGGATTCTAGAATTTTTTTAACTTTTTATTTATTTTACATACCAACCACAGTTTCCCCTCCTTCTTCTTCTCCCGTTCCCTCCCCCTCCCATATCTTCCTCCTTCCTATCCATACCCACACCCACTCCTGAGAAAGGGTAAGGCCTCCCATGGATTCTAGAAGCTTTAACAAGGCCAGTCTTGGAGGCCTCTAGGAGGGCAGCATGGACGGCCAGCGGAAAGCCAGGCGTTCCCCCCCCCCATGCCTCAGGGACTGCGGGCCAGCAGCTGGACCTACCTTGGACAGGAACCAGCCTGCAGATCCCCCCTTGTTGTTGTGGCCCACATTGATCTTCATCAGCTGCCCCAAATCCGGGGCGTCCAGCATGAACTTGTCTTCAGCTCCCTTTTCAAAGTTGTCCTTTTCATTTTCCAGCCTACGCTCTCCTGAGTGCACAGAAACAGGAAAGTTACCGGGGAGGGGTGGTGGAGGGGGGAGATGGAAACAGAAGAGAAGAAAGAAGACCTGGAGGCCTTAATGGTCCACCCACTGAAAGAGCTCTTACAAAGTCAAGGGCGGCTCCCTGCCGCGATCTAACGGTTCCTAACATCCTTCCAGCTTCTGGCAAAGCCAGTTTGCCTCCTGTGTGACGGGTACCTGGGTCTCATAACTGGGTTTCTCACTGCAGCCTTTGCCCTTGTGAACCAAACTGTGCCCCTATCCTAAGACTTGAGGTTCCATCTTGGCTTGTTCTAACCTGGAGTAGTGAGCGTGACACTTGGCATAGGGCGGCAGCTGCTGCTGCTGCCGCCGCCGTTACTGGGCTTCCAGCTGTATTTGCTCACCCCTGTCCCGGACACCATGCCAACAACTCTCAGCAGACACTGTGTGTGTCTGACACGGATCTTTATCTCGTACACCCTGCTAGGATCCAACAAGGATGCACTATTAGCGTGGTCCTCAAATGGAGAAACAAAGACTTAGAAATGAGAGAATGTGTCTGAAGTCCTGTGGGCAATGAACAGGGAGCTTAGCATCCCGTCCTAAGCTGTTTCTCTGCTTTACCCTTCTCTGTTGTCACATTCCGGTGACCACGAGTGCACAAGTTAGGCTTTCTTGTTCCACCAAAGTGCCAACTTTTTGCTTAAATCTTTCCATGGTCTCTCGTTTCTAAATTTACATTTTGGCATCCAGAATTATAGCAAATAATCTCCGGTATTCGGATACTCATCACCAAGATGCGAGAGGTGTAGCAATTGCTAACTTTGTCTAGTTTGCTCCAGATATTTATTTATAATCCCCCGCCGCTACTTTCCAAAAGATTTATTTGTTTTTATTTTATGTGTGTGAGTGTTTTGGCCTACATATATGTAAGTTCACTATGTGTGTGGCTGGTGCCCTAGGGAGCCACAGAGGGTGCTAGAGCCCGTGGAACTGAAGTCACGGAGGGTTGTAAGCAGCTATGTGGGTGCTCGGAACAGAATTCAGGTCCTCTAAAAGAGCAGCAAGTTCTGTGAAGGCCTGAGCCAATTCTCTAACATCTAGACCTTTCACTTTTTTAAAAAGAGAAGCAAACCCAGTAGACATGTGTGAGGCTTTGCTGCTCATCTCTCCCTCCTACTCGCTCCATCTTGGTGTGGACTGTCCCAGAATCATTAGCATCTATACGCATCTTTAAGAGACACGGGTCACATGTGGCCTTTTCTGATTCCTGCATAACGGAGGGCAGCAGGGTACACATTCCACCACCGCGAGTCCTTCATCTTCACAGTGAGGCCGACAGGAGTGTCTGCGTCACCGGGTGCGAGTGAGTAGACCTGCTGCGTTCTCACACATCCGGCAGCCCGGGAACACAGCCCGCACCGTGGCAATGCCACCACGGCTAGGACGGCCGCCGTTCCTCCGCTGTCAGCACCGCGGGTCCTCGTGGAATCTCATTTTCTTGGTTACCAGCAGGCTGCTGAGAGCACCCCGCAGATGACCCAGGGCTGGTGACAGTTTGTTCATTAACCATCCTATCAGAGCCGCGGGACAAAAGAGCCATTCTGCTTCCCTCTCCCGGCAGACATCTGGGTTGTTTCTGACTTAATGATTGCAAAGTTTTGTGCCCTTCCTTTACATACTGATAAAGACCGTGCTACACCCACACGTGCAGAGATGGTTGCTGATCTGCTGTGTGTTCGTCTTTGGTTTCTCAGGCAGCACCGCTCTCCAGAAGGTTTTCTGGTTGTTAATTCCCACCAGCAACACATGGGGATTTCCACTGCCCGTAATCACTATTAACATCTGTAGTTTCAGATCTTTATTCTGTGTAGAATGGTATCTCATTGTGACTTTACTTTGCACTTCATTACTTTTTTGAGAGATTGACTATATGATGCATATACATTTATATCAGCTGTCATTTTTTTTAAAAAAAAGGCAATGTGCCTCAGTCATTTTTATTCTCATATCTTCTGTTCCATTTTTAAAAAATAACTGCTGTGTTATTTTCTTTGACATGTGTGCATGCGCATGCATGTGTGTGCGTGCATGGGAGTACATGTAAAATATATATGTGATTTTGGTAAATTGTTTATTAAATTTCATCCTTAAATTAAGGTTAACATTAAAAATTAAGATCTTAAAACTACTTTCAAAAATTCTGATTTTTTTTCACATTTAAGTCTTTAGCCCATCTGGAAGTTATTTTCATGTATTGTGAAAGATAAGAATCTAATTTCATCTTTTATCAGATGGTAGACAATTGTTCGAACACCAATAATTAAACATCTTATCTTTGCCCTCAGAATTATTATTTATGATGCTATCATTCTGTGTTTTCTAGATTCTTTATTCTGCTCCATCGGGCAATTTTATTTGTCTTTCTTCTCACATCACACTATTTTAGTTTTTAAGGCTCTGTGACTGGACTGGAGAGATGGTTCAGTCCACAAGGCCATTTGCTAATAAGCTGGACAATCTGGATTAGATCCCTGGGACCCTCGTGATGGAAAGAGAACCAACCCGCCGTGTCCTCCCACCTCCCACGTGACAGGGCACAGGTGTCTCTCACCCGTGCATTAAACAGACTGGATAAACGTAGCTTACGTTTTAAAAATATCTACACTGTCTTCGTTTCAGGCAGGGCAAATATCTGCCGTCAGTACTATGGCTCAGACCACCCCTGTTCCACAGGTCACATCTGCCTGTTTGTGTGCGGACGGAGCAGCACACTCTGGCTCCTAGGTGTGTGCGTGCAGAGGGCAGAGGACTCCCTGCAGGAGTCACTTCTCTTTGTCCACCGTGTGGTCCAGGAATAGAGCTCACGGTGTCCTGTTTGCCAGCGAGGACTTTACCTGCTGAGTCATCTCACCAGCCCTGCTCCAGAGTTATCCATTTTGCCAGAGTTATCGTGGCGATATTTAGCTCTTTATGGTTCTATATTTTAATAGTAGCCTGAGCTTTGGATGCTTGCTTTTAGGAATTTGACTGCAGTAGCCTTGCTCTTATGAAAGGACCAGGAAACATGGCATCTTAGCGAGTTTGGGTCCTTTCTTGTTATGAACACGTCTCTTCATTTATTTGTATATTCTTGCACATCTTTCAAAAACCTGTATTTCCCCGAAAGCCCTCCCCCTTCAGAGTCATTCTTCTGTACTAGTTTCTGGTGTAAATCGCAAGCTTTTACACTAAACATTTAAATTGTTTGTTGTTTTAGTAATTTTTCTTATTAAATTATAATTTACTATCTTTAGCAAACTTTGATTTTTGTTGATTCTGATGATTTTTTAACCTAAATACATCTTCCCAGATTTGGTGGGTGATGTTGCTTATGCAAATGAAAGCTTGTTAGTGGCTTGTTGTACCACATACCCATAATCCTGGCATTCCGGAGGCTTAGGCAGGAGCTCAGAAGGCTTAGAGAGAGAACAAGAGGAGGGAAGACAGAGGGAAGAGGAGAGAAGGAAAGGGGAAGAGAAGGGAAGATCAGGGGGAGGGGAGAGAAGCAGAGGGGAGAACAAGTCTTGGCTTTCATCTTCAGTTGTTGTAACCTTTTTTCCTTCTTCCTTCCTTCCTTTCTTTTTCTTTTTCTTTTTCTTTTTTTTTTTTTTTTTTTTTGGTTTCTTTCTTTCCAGGCTGGCCTCAAACTCAAACATCCACCTGCCTCTGTCTTCCAGGTGCTGGGATTAAAGGTGAGCACCACCACTCAGCCAAGTTTTTATTTCTTTATCATGTCTTTTTTTCCCCTCTTGCTTTAGGCCTTCTAGTATTGCAATGAATACAAATAATAATTAACTCAAATATATCTAGGATAATTCTATTTTTCTTTTTAAATATCTGCTATAATAAAATCAGTGAATAGGTTGCCTAATGTTAAATTACTGTTGACTTCTTATCCATATGTTTATTTACAAATTTAGTGTGCTAATATTTTATTTAGAATTGGGGGGTTCTTTCATAAATGAATATAAACTATTGATTTCTCTTTTAATTTTACCTGCCTGATATTGTCATCAAAACTGATAAAATGAAGTAGACGAATGACCTCTTTTTCTTTAAAATTATTTATATTGAGGATGGATAGTAACTATTTCTTAACTATTTGGTAGATTTTTACATAAACAATTTGTGGGTCTAGAGTCTAGATACTCTCATTCTTTAGTGGTTAAAATTGGCTTCTGCAAGTCCTTGAGACAATCAAACCTTATAGGATGCTGAGTTGAAGGTCCAGGCTAGGACATATGGTGACATTCACAGGGCATGCAACCCAGATTTACCCAGAATACTTCATGCTGCCTGATTCATCCCCAAATTTCTCCTCTTGTATATTTCTGCTGGATTTTTTTCTTTATTTTTACATAATATAAGAGTATCATTTTTTGAAAGGGAATCATGTTAATAGCTCAGCTTGACCTCAAACTCCCGCTCTCCTGTACCTTCTCCGAAGTGCTGGGGTTATAAGCGTGCCCAGCAAGACTGTCTATTCTTCCCAGACTCTCCTGTGATGACCGATAAACCTACATCTGCTGTCAGTCATGTGTTCTCATTGCTTCGCTTTGATCCACTGAGAGTTTGGATCTTTATCCTCTTTTATTCTTCTCACTTATAGATTATGCATTCCAACTTTTGGTGTTCACGGTTATAATTTTACTATTCAGACTTAGCTTAATGAAGCCTACAGTTCACAGTTTAACTTCTCTGGGGATGGGGGATGGGTAATGGACAAAATCTTCATAATGCTTTGTCCAATTTCCTTCTCAAATACCAATCTTAAATGTTTTGGGTAGACACTCCTCTTGTCCCTTGTGTTAGTCACTGTTATATTTTATGGTATATAAATATATAAAATATGTTATATTTTATGCTTACTTAGACTTGCTACATGGCTATCAATATTTTGTTCACTTGTGTATGAAAGAGAGATGGAGGTCTTCCTTCACATGTAAACTAGGCTGGTCTTGAACTCAATATGTAGCCCAAGCTAACCTCAAACACCTGTTTCTATTGCTTCAGTCTCCCGAGTGCTGGGATTTACAGTTATGAGTCACCGCGTCCAACAGTGCCTACTAACGGCTGTTTAAGCCTGGCTGTAGAGCACATACATCCCATTTCTTTTTGCTAGAATAAACAGTTAATCTTCCCCCTCGCCTGGAATGATGGCTTCTCTGGTATGGAATTACTGGTTGACATACATCCTTGCTGAGAATACTGGAGCTGTGATTACATGAATTTATAACCTCTGTTGTTGACTGTAAGAGTTTTCCATCCATCTAAGTGGTATTTTTATAACAAAGTGACCTGCCAAATCTACTTCCTCTAAGATCTTTCTCTTTGCTTTTCTTTTTACACGGTGATGTAGATTCCATCATAGATTTTTTTTTTCAATGAGTCATTTACCCATTTGAAACTGATGATTCAGATCTGTTGGAGCTTTAAAAAAAAAAAAAAACCTTCGGCCATTAGCTCTTTGAAAATCTCCTCTTACCTGTGCCCCATATCCTCTGTTTCTAGAATGCCTACTCAACCTCCGTCAGGCCTCCCTCCCTCCCCTGCTCTCATGGCTCCTCCTGCCTCCTTCCCAACCCTGTCTCTCTGTGCTCCATCTGAGGGTTTTGCTCATATACTTTCAGTTCAATAAGTCTCTCCTCAGCATCTGTAATTGCATTGTTTAACTCACCTGCAAAGATGCTTATCTTTACGAACCATGTTTTCACTTCCTGTGGTTTTGTTTATTTTTCCTAATGTGTTGTTTTTGATGGTGCTGTGCCTTCCTCAGTTCTTTCTTTCATGTGGTTAATAGTTTTAAAATACCTTAAGTTATAGGCTAGCCCACATCACTCCATTATCCGAAACCCCTGGGGATTTCATTCCGGTTGCTGTGCGGTTTGAGGCTTCATTGTGGTGGATTTGTGTACTTAAGAGTCTTATTGTTTTGGAAAACAAATTCGCTCCAGCGTTTCCTCTGTGGGAATTTCACATAGTCTTAGAAAGATTTTTGCAGAACGCTAATGGAGATTTACTTGCTATGAATCAAGTATTCTAATTTGGCTTTGCTGTTGTTGTTTTGAGATGGGGTCTCATTACGCAGCCCCAACTGACCTGGAGCTCACTATGTAGAGAAAATTGACCTAGAATTCACAGAGATCAGCCTGCCTCTTCCTCCCGAGTGCTGGGATCAAAGCCGTGCGCCATCATAACCAGTTTGAACCAAATACTCTGTGTGGGAAGAGGTGAGTTTCGAAATCGCACATCTAGTGTGACAGTCGAACCTCAAGTCTCTGTGCAGCATAGGTTTTCAGTGTTGTTTTGTTTTGTTTGCAGTTTTGAGTTCCGACAGGGACGCAGTGACTGTGCCAATGAGTTACTGCTCTGCCTTCTCACTGAAGCTCTTCCTGTGACTCAGGAAGTTCCCTGACTTCACGTGTGGTTCTAATTTCAAATCTCTTGCCTCATTCAGGACCTACACCTTCTTTTCTGACCCCCAAGGAGCATAAACACCTGTCTTCTAGATTGGTGACTGTGACCCCTCCTCCTTCTCAGAGCTATGGTAACAATCCGTAGCTAATACTCAGGGGTTGAGTTTCTCCTTCATGCCTGGCACCTGCAGTGTTCTTTTTCCTTCCTTATAAGTCCAGCAATCCGTATTGAATCCTTTGATGCGTTCACACATCTCCTGTGTTATTCTGCTAATTTGGCAGAAGGGAGAGCAAACCTCCGGTCTCAGCCTGTGACCTGAACTTCTTCCCAGAACCTGCAGCTATATCTGTGTGTAGTTCTGTTTTGCCAAGCATTCTTTCATCCCTTAGCCCCACTCTGGGCCATCCTCCTTGGCTACACTAAATTAGACTATACCCCACGGCAACCCACAGAAGCACAGAGCTTATGACAACAGAGAAATGAAGTGAGAATAAATCCCTGAAGATGGGAAATTTGAGCTTATTCAATTTTAATCAGTCCAAACCCAGGTATAACTTATTCTGAATATCAACACACACACACACACACACACACACACACACACACACACACACACACA